TACATTTTGGGGTGATAGTGTAAGAAATGTGGGGAGTATTGTTTGTATGGACAAAACAAGGGAATAAGAAGAATGACCTGCCAACTAACCAGCTCAATAGTTGATAGTATACAGAAATTCCTTTAATGACATGTGATTGTTTGTTGAAAAAGTTGTCTTTTCTCCCTACCTCACACTTCCCAGTTACCATTTATTGACTTCTGTTCTCCTTGGTCTCTCATATTTTCACGTTTTCTGACAGAGGTATTGACAGCCCCATTCATAAAAATGCCAGTATTCCTTCAATCTTTATAAGTCTGATCAGCTATGATGGAGTGCTGCCCCTCTTAGAACTGCCTGTTTTGCTGTTTATGTTATGTTCTTAGCCTCATTTTATCTTCATTATCTAACATTGTGCCTAGGGTATAATTAATTTCAGCATTTTGCTGGTCTTAGTTATATCTATGCTTGTACTTCCATTAGTTTGCAGTTGGAGGGGGGAGGCTTAACTGTGTTCATTGAAATTTGACCATTTTTTTTCATGGAACTTGACAAGCATATTCTGGAATCTATATGCAGTAATAAAGAGCCAAGGGAAGCCAAGGTAGTTTTAAAGGGGAAAAGATCAAAGCTGGGTCATTTGTTTTGTATCTTACACTAGAGTAAATAAATTCAGAATGGCATTGGCATAGCGATAGACAAATAGATCAATGAAACAAAACAGAGAGCTCAGAAATGGGCCTAATATGGCAGAGAGGATATGCGTTCATCAAAACATTTCCCTTTTCTCTTGGACACAGACTAAACTACATTTACCAGCTTCTCTTACTGATCTCCTGTAACTGAATCCCAGTCAATGGGCTAAAGGCATAAATGATGTACCTCTCTCAGGTAGGGCCCATAAAATCCTCCTGTGAACAATTTATGTTCCCTCCATCTACCATCTGAATGTTAAGTTCTTTTGAAAACCCCAGAGTAGGGCAAGAATACAATGTGGAAGGAGCTGGGGTCCTAACCTGGAGGACAGCTCCCCAGGACAGCAGACCCATCTGGAGTACCTGTGTTAGGTGATTCATGATCCCAAAATAAACATTGTTTTAAGTTACTGAGACTTCTGAGTTATTTGTTGGCCTACACTAATACATGATGCCTGAATGAAGACTTGGCATACAAGATCTGGCTATAGCAGATATTGCTGAGAAGATGATGGACTATGTACAAGGCAGTTTTCTACCTATGCAGAAACCATCTACAAGTTCAGTCCCTGTGCTATGCCCCATTCCAGGTGGACTAATGATCTAATTGTAAAACATAAATGTTTTAGAAGAATGCATAGGAGAATATCTTTATGGTGTCGGCATAGAGACACACAAAGTACAGCAGAAAAGACTGATAAAAATCAGTAGCACTAAGATGAGAAAATTCTCAATTAAGGCACTGTAAACATGAAAACAAGCCAAAGATAGAAAAAGTATTTGAAATGCATATCCAATAAAAGATTAATATACAGAATATTTGAAGATTTCAGGCAGAAAACCCCAGCAGAAAATGGGCAAAAAATTATTAGTGAGCATCTTAGGGAATAAAAAGCTGACATGTCCAATAACTATATGAAAAAAATCTTAATGCCATTACTGTCAAAGATGTAAAAGCATGTTAACTTGAACAAATTAGTATCATGTTTACCTGACTGCCAGCATTAAAGTCCAGTGATGCTACATTAGTTACCTGTACAAAATGTGAGTCCCACCAAGCAACTTGGAAAGCAGTTTTGAATATCACGGAGGGCTGAACAACTTCCTTTGGTCTAAGCAATTTCACTGGCTGTGGGATTGGTGATGTTTTGTTCTTCTTAATCTCGGTAATCCATTGCGTTGTTATTCTCACCTCTTTCTATGTCTGAAATAGCTCATCATATTTTTAAGATAATCTTGCTCTTCTCTTTAGTCCTTCATCCAAAAGGTATGGTTAGATTTTCCTCAGTCCTTTCCTTTCTTCTCACTTAGAGCAACCTACTTTATATCAATCCTTGAAGACTTTCTAAGTTCCATTGAAAACTGATTTATCAAATAACTATCTGAAGAACTTAAAATTAGGATGCAATAAACAAACATATAGAGCATACGATACACCAGACACCATTTTCTTGAATTAACTGTTGCATCAACCTTTTTTTAAAAAGTCCCTTGCTTTAGCTCTTTCCATTCTCACAACAGCTCTATGAAGTAGGTTGCTATGATCCCCACTTAGGAATGAAGACGCTGAGGTACAGGGAGGTGGTAGGTAGAGGAGATGTTCACATCCTGGTCAGCATGCTCCCATGATTTCACCTTGCTGATGTCTGCTGCCCTGTGACCAAGTGGAAGGGTAGATAAATTGCCTGGGAATTTCAGGCTAGAGTCGATTAGTGTTGGCCAGAAATGAGGTGACTGAATTCGCCATATGAACCACTGCCGCTGTCTCGATTCTCCAGCACATTTTTCTGACTCACACAAGCAGTTTGCTTATTTCCAGTTGTTTTCTTCCTCTTAACAAGGAATAGTTTAATGTTGTCAGCATTGTCATGAACTACTTGAAACATTTATAGAATTCACCAACCATTTCCAAATTCAGAATGCTTTTCGTTTACTGAATAATGCAGCTTTAATTTCTGGCCAGCTGAAGCTGGTTTTTGAAGAGTGGATCTATTTATTGCCGGCTGCGTCCCACAGTGATGGACAAAATAAGAGTTTTTATAGTTCTTTATTGTATTTTAGTTTTGGGTATTTTCAAGTCCTGAGAGCGGAGTACATAGCTTCCCAGAAACACACACTTCCCAGATGAATTCTTCCCAGCCTGGAAAGAAGCCAAATCTCTAAATTGATACGTTCACTGAATGATAAATTGCATATAAGAAAATGAAGCCAGATGCAAGAGGACTTGATCAAAGGACATTTGAACTCTGCAAATGATATGAAATATTTCTCTTTTTAAGAAATTTTAATAAATTGTTAAATAAAAGACTGTGTGAACAGTTTGAGCTTGATTAAGCTTCTCCTACATATTTCAGTGAATAGATTATTCTGGCAGTATGTCAGCAGTGGGCTGGACATCAGATAATCCCACGTGGAATATTTCTAGGGGGTGAGCCCCACCCCCACCTGAAATATCACACAAATCAGATTCTCTGGATTCTGGCACTGGGCTGGTAAGCCTGCATGATAATTGAGACTCATAAGACTTACTATTTTGCAAGTTCAAGGTGTTGCTTTTCCTGATTGGGTTTGAAGCAAACAGGTGCATGCTTCATTTCTGACACCCAGGACAATGCAAATCCTTTCAGTGGGGTTTCAGTGCATTTTTTCAGCTTGCAGAGGTCAAATGCATTTTCTTAGCCACATTTAGAAGCATTGAAATCCTTGCACGGAACTTAAAAGAACTACAGTACATAAGTTCTGTTTTAAGAAGTAGCACATTCTTTATTTTTCCTTTCCGGATATGCTTTTCTTTAGAAACAACACAAATCTCACCAATTTTAAACAGTTCTTCCGAGGGTGAAAAGCAACAATCTCTTACTTTAAATTATCGAATGAAACTCTAGTATGTTATAAACACTAAAGCCATCTTAATATTGCTATCAATTTTGTTCAGGTCCTATCTAAATAGAATGTTCCGACTCTCATTTTAAAATGATAAAAACAGACAATCTTTCACTCCAATGCTGTGTGCTTCTCCCAGCTGTCATTGCTTAATTTTTTTTCATGGTAGATGGTCATGGTCCTATGAATGGACAGGTTTGTTCCAAACAAGCAGTAGCCTCAGTATACTGAGGCTCTCTACATGAAGAAATTAGAGATTAGACCTCATAGCTATACTCAGAGAAATATTTAAAAGATTACGTTTTAACAGGGAATTGATGGTGGCATCATTGATAAGAAATTGCAAGTATATAGACCACAAAAGTTTTGAGAAGATCTAGAAATAAAGTCTGGTCCACAACAACTTTTCATATTTAAATCTGGACCACACATCTCGTGCTAGGTCTTTAGGATTATAATAAGCTTCCTATAGAGGAAGACTATCTCTATACTGAATACCAATCCAGTTATCTATAGATGTCTTCTCCCTTTGAAATAAATGAGGTTGCTGGGAAGGCCAGCTTGGTGAGGCCTCAGCTTTTCAGACAAATAACTTCCATGAGTTTCAAAGGGATTCCTTGGTTTTGTGCTACCATCGTCCACCTTCATCCCACACCTCCTGTTCTAGAGGCAAAATGAGCAGGAATTTGGGGGTCTCTGAACAAACTTCCTGGGTGTATAGGGCAAGTATATATAGTCAATCTCTATCCACGTCAGCAGGTCTAACCAACTATGGATCAAAAGTATTTAGGAAAAAGTCGCATCTGTGCTCAACATGGCCAGGCTTTTTTATCCTTATTCCCTAAACAATGCAACGTAACAATGATATACACAGCATTCACATTTTATTGGAGATGTTAAGTCATTGAGTAATGATTTTTATATGTCAGGATATGTGTAGGTTCTACATAAATGCCACACCATTTTACATAAGGAACTTGAGCATCTCCAGGTTTTGAAATCCCCAGGGGTCCTAGAACCAATCCCCCGCTGATGTCAAGGGACAACTGTCGTTTTATTCTCACTTCTCCTAGGTCACTCACACTTGTTTCAAAAAGGGGATGCTCATCCTTCTGTGAGTCATCCTGTCGATGCTTATCTCCACATACAATCTCCACGTACACAAGCAACTTCTCTTCAAAGAAGAAAGGTGGCTCTAGGCTTTTGTGGAGCCCCCTTTGGTGCAGGGGATTTGAGTGACAGACATTTAAGCAGTAGCTAAAGGGAGTCCTTTTCTATATCTGTTCCAGAGAAATACTTTTCAAGGCCACTCACTTAGAATGAGGTCAAGTTCTACAGCAGATGGCAGGCTTAGGATTGGCTGGCACGTGCCAAAGGCAAGGGGGTCATCCATTTTTCATGAAGTTATAATTAACACACTGTCTGCCTCCCTGCCTCCCACAGGTTCAACCTTTGGGAATGAAGAACAGCCAGCTCTGAAGGCAGCTCTGCCTTCTAAGGACACACCCAAGGGGGCCAGCCGAGTGACCCCTCCGGCATCCTCCAGTGTGACAACACCCCGCAGGAGTTTACTTCCAGCGCCGAAGTCTACTTCTGCACCTGCTGGTAAGACTTTCTGTCCTGGAGAGGCTCCGTGGCAGAGTGCCCTTTCTGCTTTCGTGAAAAGGCTTTTGAAAGTCCCTGTGTACATCAGTTATTTAAGTGAGATGACAGATGAGTCTTAAAGGGCATTTAAAATTAATAATAATGCTCTTGTTTTCAAGGTGCTTTCATATGTTCATATGTTGAAATCCTCAACTGCCTCCCGTCTTCCCCCTGTCTAGTAACCCTTTGAATCACAGTCTTGATTTCAGAAAGCAAGAATAAAGCTATTTTAAGCTGACTGGCATTTGGCTCAGGGAAGCGAGCACTCATGAGATCATTAGAAAGGCGGGGGCATAAGCGAGCTTCAGGCTGTGCCTCCAGGATGAGCCCCAAACCTCACTTAGCACTGCTGCCACCTTCTGGCTCCAGGCTCACACCCCCAAAACTGGGCAGGACCCAGGGATTGGCTTCTACTGCAACAGGTTGGATGGAGAGCCATGCTATGCCAGCAACACGGAGCCCTGTGTCCTGCCTCTCCAGTGCCAGGAAGCAAGTGGCCGGACATGGGGAACTCAGTTATGTAAAGATGAGGGAAAGGAAGGCATTTCTGTAGACTCTGCCAAGGCCATCCAGGTGTGGCCCCTCCTGTGCTTTCTCCTGCCTTGTCTCACACAGTGCATCTGTCACCAGCAGGGACATCTGAGCATATTGTCAGCTTTCCATCATCTGGGCTATAGGAGACATGTTATCAGGAAGGCAGAGTGTGTGTTGAGCCCCGATCCACTGTAGATGGTTCACTCTGGTATTTTCTTCTCCAAATTTTTCTTCTGTGAATATAATCATATATATTTATGTGAATATAATCATACATATTTATCATATATATATATATATATATATATATACACACATACACACACACACATATCGACACACATATGTATTTTATGAGCTTTTAAAAATGTGATGGCATTACAGATTGAGCATCCCTTGTCTGAAATCCTGTGTGCTTCAAAATCTGAAACTTTATGAACACTGATAAAATTCCACAAGTAGAACATTCCCACCTGTCTTCATGTGATGGGTTGCAGACAAAACAAGGGTGAAAAAACAAACAAACGAAAGAAAAAAAACCTCAGGCACGCTAACAATGTTGTATAAAATTACCTTCAGGCTATGAGTATGAGGTATGTATGAAACACGAATTAATTTCATATTTAGACTTGAGTCACATTCCCAAGATATTATCTGTATGCAAATATTCCAAAATCTTTTTTAAAATAAAATCTGAAACACTTCTGGTTCCAAATATTTTGAATAAGGGACACTCAACCTATATACCCATTTTTCTACATGTTGCATTTCTTACTCAATATATCATAGAAATACCTTCAAATTAATGATACAGCTATTCATTTCAATGGCTGCCGGGTGGGGATATAGCATGATTTATTCAACTATTCCCTGCTAAATGGGCACTCTCTTTGTTGTGGGTGTTTGCCTTGATGATCAGTGCTGCAGTAAGTAACCTTCAATGGTGAGCATTCTTTGCATGAGATCAATTCCCAGGAATGAACTCGCTTTGTTTAAAGCACCCATAGGTATCTCTAGATTCCTTTGCAAAGAGGCTGCAATGTTTGTTTCCACTCCAATCTCTCCACTTGGGATTGGTGCTTTAGTTAGCTTTTCATCATTGTAACCAAAGAACAATTTAGAGGAGGGAAAGTTGATTTGGAACACACAGTTTCAGAGGTCTCAGTCTAGAGCCAACTGTATTGTTCTGGACCCAAGATGAGGTAACACATCATAAGGGAAGAGCCCCAAGAAGGAGAGCTGCTCACCTCATGGCAGGGTCAGGAAGCAGAGAGAGGGGGAAGAAGGAAGGGGACACAGGGAAGAGTCACCTTTCCAGGGAACATCCCAGTGACCCACTTCCTCTAGCCATACCTCACCTGCCTACAGTTACCAACCAGTTAGATAAGGTTATAGTTCTCACAAACCAATCATTAATGTATCATGCAAGATTTTAGGGGACACTTCATATCTTAACCATAACACTGCATCCCTGGCTCTCAAAGTCTGTACCCCTCTCACAATGCAAAATGCGTTTAGTCCCTCTCCATGAGTCCCATAGTCTTCACAGTTCCAGCCTTGCCCAAAAGTCCAAGCCCAAAGTCTCTTCTGAGAGACAATAAAAACTCTTGGCCTTGAACCCCTTGAAAACCAAAGACAAGTTACACATATCCAATATACAGTGACACAAAAATTCCCATTCCAAATGGGAGAAATAGGGGAATAGAAAGAAGGGATGGGGCCGAGGAAAGACCTAAACCCAGTCAGGCAAACAGGTCCCATGATTCCTTGTAAGCATCTAGGACACTTGGCTGTGAGGTGTTATTTCCAAAGGGCTTTGACAGCCCACCCCTTTGCCTTGCTGGTTGCAGAGCGAAGGGAGTCTCTTTTAGTCTGACTCTCTCTGCAGCCAGCAGCTTCTCTCAGCAAACAGTCCATGGTCCACATTAGTAGCATTTCTTAATTACTGGTGTCTCCATTCCAGCTTCGGCTTTACCTTTGCAACTTCACAAATCACCCTCCCGGGGGCAACCTAAAAGGACTCCACCAAACTACACTTTGGCTGACTTCCCAGGCCTCCCTTTGAAATCTCAGTGGAAGCTTCCATGATCCCTTAACTTGAGCATCCTGCATTCCTGCAGAACCAACATCATGTGAATGATGACAAGGTTTGCTGCCAGCTCACACAATGCCTGGGCCCCTGGGAATCATGTCTGTAGTTTCTTCTGAGTATGTGGCTCAGTATGAACAACTTCCTAGGACCCTCTATGCAAGAAGGGCACCCCCACAATCTCTTCTCAAAATAATTTTTCCTTCTACATCCTGGAACCTGAAGTAGGTATGGTCCTGCAAATTCCTTAAAAAGGTGCCCTTGAGTTGGCTTTCCAATTGTCTCTGTACAAAGTACTTAGCATCTCTTTAGGAACTATAATCTCTTTAAACACACCTTCCGTGGCCCCAGCTTTACATCCACTCTTCTGGCCAATTGCAAATTGTAAAATCCTTTTATCTCTATCTCTTGCTCCTAATTCTCACATGAAACCTGGCTAAAAGCTGCCAACAACATCCATGCCACTGAGTGAATGTGGTGCTGCCTTGAAATTTCCTCCCCCAGATTAATTAGTCCATCATTTTAAAATTAAGATTCATACAAAGTCTCCAAACATAGGAAAAATGTAGTCCAGTTTATTTGCCAGAAGATAATACAAGTAATCTCTAATTCAGTTCCCAACAGAGTTCTCATTTTCTTCTGAAACCTCATGAGCACAGTCTATATTCCTAGAAGCATTCTGATCTTCTGAGCTCCCACCAAAGTCACCCACCAAGCCCCACTTACAAAAATCTGCATCTCTATAATCTTTTCAAAATTCTTCCTGCAAACAAACTCCAAAGGCTTCTGAGTCCCATGGTGAGATTAGTCACAGAAAGGACCCTCCTCCTCAGTAAACCAACTTCTGTTTTAGTTAGATTTTCATCACTGTGTCCAAAATACCTAGCAAGAACAACTAAAGGAGGGAAAGTTTATTTGGGGCTCATGGTTTTAGAGGTCTCAGTCCACAGGTGGCCAACTCCATTGCTCAGAGCCCAAGGTGAGGCAGCACATCATGGGGGAAGGGCCCAGGGGAGGAAAGCTGCTCATCTCATGGCAGGGTCAGGAAGCAGAGGGGTCAGGGAAGGAACCACAGGGAAGATGCACCCTTCCAGTGCACACCAGTGACCCACCTCCTCCAGCCTCTCCCCACTGCCTGTAGTTACTACCCATTTAATCCATTCAAACTAAGATGAACTAAGATTGTGAGATTATAGCTCTCACAATCCAATCATTTTACCTCTAAACATTGTGTATTAACACAAGAGCTTTGGGAGGACACCTCATATCCAATTGGTATTATCCCTGTCTAAAATTTTCATCTCCTTGATGGGTCTAAAGTATCATCTCAATATTATTTAAAAGTGTTATCACTAGACTAGCTTAAAACCCTGCTTTATGCTGCAGTAATATTTCATAATTTCCTTTGGAAAGATCTAAGTTGTTGAGTTTTTTCTTCCGTGGGGAAGGTAACTTTTTGGAGCAGTGACCATGTCTCTTTGGTTAAACAGTTTCCCCCTTGCCTGCCACCAGGGATTGATTCATAGTAGGTACTTAACATCTGCTTGTTAATGGTTGAATGAATCAACAATTGAATGAATGAATGAATGTCACCTGGCATTTCAGTCTTTCAATTCCAGATTCTCAATAGTTTGGCCTTGCTTTAACTAGAAAATAATTACATAAGCCCATGGTCAGTTAAAGTACAGTTGTGGAATCAACCCTGTAGACCAATGTTTCTCAAACTTTAATGCATCAGTCATCTGTAGGATTAAAAAAAAAATTACTGGGGCCTATCCCCAGAATTTCTTAGGTTCAGTTTGGGATCAGATAAATTTACATTCTAACAAATTTCCAGGTGATGTTGCTGTTCCTGGTGGTCTGGGGACTCATACTCTGTGAACTACGATTATAGAAAAACAGACTAGGAATTCGAAGGGGCAGTTTTTAGAAAAAAAAAATGCAAATGGATCTTAAGCATATGAAAGGATGATCGACCCTACTCATAATAAGAAAAAATGTAAAATGAAACTACAATGGACTACACAATATTATACTTGAACACAAAATACAGAAGTTTGACCACATACTGCATTTGTGAGGCTTCCTGGAAACAGGCATTCTCATACATGTCTGGTGGGAATTTAACATGGTACAACTCTTATGAAGAGGAAGTTGGCAGTAGCTAACAAAATCACATGTACATTTATTCTTTGACTTAGTAGTCCCTGTCCTAGGACTCTCTCCCAAAGGTAGAGGGGCAAAGATGCAGTGCACAAAGTGATTCAGGGCAGCACTGTTTAGAATAGCAAAAGACTCAAGTACCCATGACTGGGGAGGTGGATAAGTTGTGATCCGT